CTTCTTATTGCACGTAGCAGGAACCTGGTTCAAAAGGGGCAACTCGGCCTGGTCCAGATAATGGAGCAGCAGCAACTCCTCTTTGATTCAGTAAACATCTGAAATAAGCCAACCTTCCAGTAACTTCACTTGCATCCTTGGCAAGCTTGTCATATGGTGTCCATAGCCGCTCTTCATATAAAAGGACAAGGGAAAAGGAATTAAAATAGTTAACCGGGGAAAAATTCACATACAACAAAATGATTCCAATAAGCCAAACACACACACACACACACCTCTATTCCAGAACCAGTGATCAAACCACTTTTTTAAGCAAATTTTGCTAGCAATGCAACAAGTTGCTTGGTTAGATCGTGGTCTTGTTAAAATATCTTCTTTTACCTCTACAAGCCTTAATAAACTAGTCTTTGTTCTCCAGTTACAATATCCTATGTTTGGTTTTTTTTTTTTTTTATTAGTATAGAACTATAGATGCCAGAACAAGAAACAAGTAGTGTAGTGTGTTAAATGTTCTTCATTATAAAACTTCAACGCAAGCTCTATTTTATTGGCTACCAGGCTTAACTCCCAAGACATGAAGCCAAGAGTTAAAGCATAAAAAATCAAAACCATTGATTTGTTAACAATATCGTGCCAGCAATAAGGTATTGGGGTAATGGAATGTTAACTTACTAGACAATAAGTACCAGCAGCTGCTGCAGCACGTGGCCATATGGTTTGTTCTATATCTGACCCATCAATGTATTCACCCCACATGCATACCTCACCACCAATAACTAACTTCTGTTGCTTGGAGTTTGTAATATTTGTGAGTGGTTCATTCATATAGAATTCCTGCCAGGTGGTGTCCAAGTAGTGCAAGTACCACTTATCCTGGTTGCTCACAATGCACCTTAATCCAGATGCCACCACTTGCTGAGCAACTCCACGACCAAGCCTGATTTAAATCAAAGCACAACTAGAAATCTCAGGAGAGGCATTATCTGAGCAATGTATGGGCACTACGCTTCTACACCATCCGACAATTGAATCCAAAGCAAAGTTTGAATATTGAGTAGAAAATTATAAGTTGCACTTGCTTTGGAAATATTTAGCAGTGAAAATTTCCTAACTATGTAAGACCAAAAACAATATAACTATGAAGGTTTCAAATGATAGTTACTAGAAATTACCTTATGGGCGGTGTGGCAAGTGGTCAATTAAGAACCCTTTCCCTTGAACTATCTCATCAGAGGAAAAGAGTACAATAGCTCATAAAACAAGATGCTTAGAGAAATCTATCATAAAGTTGAATTCCATTTCTACCACCACCAAAATCAATTAGATATGGAGTGTTATAACTTATAAGACTCTTCATCCTTAAGCCACAATTTTATGCCCTTACAAACTGGGAAAAGGGGAAAATTGGTAGAACAGGATAAAAGTATAGCTTCAAATTGAAGTTGTCATTATATTTCTTAATTTATGAGCAAAAGTTAAAATTGCCAAGGCAATAAACAAGGGAGATAGTCGAATTGAAGTCAAAATTATGTTTCTTAATTTATTGACTTTTATGCATGGAGAAGAGAGTATTAAATTTAAGATGCATCACGACAAGAAACAAGACATGCAGAGAGAATCACGTGATACACAGTCTAGATGGCAGTCAAGAGGAGTATAACATACCAATTGTGCACCACAGTTTTACGGCTCAATTTATTGCCAAAGTTGTTGAATGTCTCCTCCCTGTTATATTTTATAAGTGATTGATAGAATTACAAATTGAAAAAGTCATTTATTTGTGGACATAAAAAGGTTTTATGTAGAGAACAATGTAATTGACTAAATAGAACAAGATGCATACCAGTTAACAATTTCATATCCACGGGACAGAGCTATATTCTGAGCTCTCAAGACAAAGTACTGATAAGCTTGAGATTCATTCATGTGATGCTTCTTTAACCTGGAAATCAGAGTAATCAAGTAAGAAGCTCTCTTGATGAACAACAAGTGAAATGCTATCTCTTTGGTGTCTAAGCTGATAGATTTACTATAGCAGGCATGAAAGCTGATTTTATGCTGAATAAAATGCATTATTATTGAAAGCAACCATCAGAGGTATTCAAACAAAATCATATTGCAATTACAAAAGATGGCAAAAACAAAAAAATAAAAAATAAAAAATGAAAAGCCCCAAATGAGAAAGCCAAGACAGCAGCAAATCAAGACTAGAGAGGGGGTAGACCAAAACAAAGCAGCTGAAAAAAAACAGGACAGACATTTAGTCATGTGACACCAAATAGTAAACATTTCGGAAAGAAGTGATAACATAATATGATGCTTTATATATTGGTGGACATGCCTATGAGATTATGAAAATGCTATAAAAATAGCAATACATCAGACAGAGAAGCTTGTTTCTTACACCAGCAAGTCAGATTGTAAAAGTAGC